TATCTTAATTCTTTTTTGCTAAACAGTTGCTGCTAATTTTCTAAAATTCATTTACTTTCATCAAAAATTTAGCAAGTATATTTTTCTAAAGTAAGTGATTCTCTGATAAATAATCGTTTTATCGAAAAAAGCTTTCAACATTATCCCTATAGGATTAAACTGTGAAGCAAGATCGTTATGTGTTTATTGAAGTGAAGACCCTAGTGAAAATACTCATCAAGCGAGTACGACTTCCCAGCATGAGTACTCGGATGACTCGTTCGAGTACTCGAGAATTTTTATGTATAATTATACTTTTTGTGTACTCGGGCGAGTACTCATATGAGTTATTTCTCTAGAATTTACTCGCGGATGATAGCATGAGTACTCAAAGTAGTACTCATTCATGTTTTTGACAAAACGTGTAACAAAACACTAATGTACTAACATGTACAAAAATAAAAAAAAAACTTAAATCAAATGTTTATTTTTTGATGAAATTCAACAATGTCTACAGAAAATAAAAACAATAACTAATGAAAATAAATCATTATTACTTGTTACATCTGGATCATTTGCTAATGAAATTCTATCACAAGCACAAAACGATATTTCAATAATTATATTTTGTGAAAATTACGATCGATATTTTCATTTCAAATTTACATATAAAAATATTATAGAGATTTGTACAGAATATGAAACATTAAAAGATTGTATAAAGAAAGAATTAATATTCTTAAAATTGAATTTATTAAATAATCCAACATCGAAATTAATGAGACTATTGAATTTATCAAATGATTTTTCAATACATTTGTGCTTATTTTTCATATGCTATCTTCATTGAATTAATCAAACAAATGCCACAAACAAAAAATTCAATGAATACTATGTTAAATAGATGTAAAGATTTTTATCGTGATAATAAAACACAAATTAAACTTATTGAAGAATTTAGAAATACATACACATCAAATGAAACAATTGATTGGTACATCAAAGAATCTTTTCTTTATAAAGTAGTGAATCGAGCTTTTCGAACAAAAGATATAACACTATGGTATTTATTTCGTTATTATATTATTGATCTATGTAAACAATTGGAACAAGTTCATAAAAAACAAAATATTCAAACAAATTTAAAACTTTATCGTGGTCAACCTTTTATATTAACAGATGAATTAGAATATTTGAAATCAAATATTGGTGGTTTATTTTCAAACAATGGATTTCTGTCCACATCAAAAGATTTTAATATTGCTAAATTATTTGGTCAGGATGCTCTCCATACTGATCAATTTAATCCTGCTATTTTTGAAATAACTGTCGATGGATCTAATCTTCAAAATACGATTTTTGTTGATATTGAAAAATATAATGTTTCTTCTGGTGAAAGGGAAGTCTTATTTAACCCTTAAAAGCCGAATGTCCCTTCTAAGGGACATTGCGAAAACTTCAATAAAACATGCAATAATACTCTGTATACAATATTCTTTGTTTTCTTCGACTTAAATGACCTTGTGGCTCA